GGTAAGCACACTTAACTCCAGAGTTCTTTTAGTAGAGCTCCCGAAAAGAAATACACACATAATTGACATGAGTAGACTATTCAATCAATTTAATATCTAATCAACTTCAAATAACTTAATACCAGCTCATCCACACCCGGGAATTGGCTAAGCAACATGCCAACTCCAGGGGTATCACAAGTTGTTCAGAGGGGAAATCTTCAAAGGAAGGAAGAAGAGAATGAGTAGAATATCTTGACTGGACAACACGTGAAGGGAAAAAAACATTGATCTTCAAAGAACACAACATTACGGGAAAGACGAATCCCTTGAGATGTGAGATCAAAACAGAGGTAAACTTTTTGATGTGGAGCATAGCCAAGGAAAGTACGTTTGACAGACTGTGGAAAGAGCTTATTGCGTTCTTGGGAAAGAAGCATAACAAAACAAACACATCCAAATCGATGAAGATGATGGTATGTCGGTTGCTTCTGATAGAGTATCGAATACAGTATGGAAAATTTTCAAGTGTAGGGGTAGGAATACAAGACTTAATTAGTGAGGATTAAACCACATCAAGATGGTGCCGATGTTTATGTTCGAAAACCCCATTTTGCTGAGGTGTATAAGGACAATTTCTCAGAAAAATAATTCCATTTTCTTGAAGAAAATCTTGAAAGTGTTGTGACATATATTCTCCACCCGTGTCAGAGATCTTAATATTTTTGAAGAATTAGCTTTTAATCATGGCCAAAAGAGTTTTGAAAGATTCAAAAACTTCAGATTTGCGTCTTAACAAATAAGCCCATGTGAAGCGGATGTAATCATCAATAAAGGTCACAAAATAATTATATTGAGCATGAGAAATACTCGATGAAATTCTCCAAACGTCACTATGGAATACAAGACTTAATTAGTGAGGATCGAACCACATCAAGATGGTGCCGATGTTTACGTTTGGAAACCCTATTTTGCTGAGGTGTATAAGGACAATTTCTCAGAAAAATAATTCCATTTTCTTGAAGAAAATCTTGAAAGCGTTGTGACATATATTCCCTACCTGAGTCAGAGATCTTAATATTTTTGAAGAATTGGCTTTTAATCATGGCCAAAAAAGTTTTGAAAGATTCAAAAACTTCAGATTTGCGTCTTAAGAAATAAGCCCATATGAAGTGGATGTAATCATTAATAAAGGTCACAAAATACTTATACTGAGCATGAGAAATAATCGATGAAATTCTCTAAACGTCACTATGAACTAAATCAAAATATTGAGAGACACGCGTATTACTAGAGGAAAAAGGAAGTCTTACTTTTAGCTAATTTTCAAGTAGAACAAGCAAAAGAAGAAGTATCCTCAGATAACAATTTATGTCATTTCATGTCATATTTCAACATAAAGGACAATGTCCTATTATTTGGATGTCCTGAAATCATATGTCAATACTTGTTGACATGTTGAATATGACAAAAAAGAAAAGAAAACACATTTCTAGGCTCGGGTGATTTTTTGAAATTGAATGAAAAAAGTCTGCCTTGTTTAAGTCCCCCAGCTACTGTCCTCCCCAACTACAGCTCTTGCACGTCACAACCACAAGAAGAAAAAGTAATCTTGTGATTGTCGTTTACTAATTGTCTAATTGAAATCAAGTTAGTAGATACATGGAGAGCAACAAAAATATTCTTTATAGATGGGGAGGAATAAATATCATCTGTCGCAATGATTGGAATATGATTCCTGCTCGCAGTCTCAATTTTGAGTTAACTATCATATTTTTTTACATTATGTAAATGATCAAATAATGATGTCATGTGATTTGAATAAGCTGAATCAAAAAACCAAATCTTAGATTTATTTTTACCAGTAATTCCAAGAGCTAAAATGGCCGAAATAATCATCTGCTGAACATTCTTTTGTGTAAGAGAAGATGCAGGCTGCTTTGAAGCTTTTTCAATCACGATATTGCTGTTGGAAGTTGTGGCATGAAAAGCACTCGAATTCCGAATTTGTGGGCACTTCCGACATTAAAAAATAATGTCCCTTCACTTTGCAATAATTGTAAATTTTTTTAGAACATTGAATCGCAATATGCCCAAACTCTTTACAACTGTAACATTGAATACCAACCATATTTTGATATCATGATTTACCTTGCGTTGCATATGCTAATTAAGGACATTAGTAGATTCCTCTTTTTTCCAGCATAGTTGTATCAGAAACCGCTCTTCTTCTCGAAGTAGTTCATTTAGACAATCATCCACAGATGGACAAGGTGTTCTAAGAGGAAAATTTGATCTTACAACTTGAATGGACAAGTTTGCTTGAGAAAATTTGGACATTTTGTATTTCAATTGAAAACGCCTCGCTGGTCTAATTTGGCTATAAACTTTCTTGACCACCAGAGATGGATGCATGGTCTACAACAACTAGCTTTTGACAGGAGCAGCCTCCATTGTTGAATCAACAGCCTTGATTGGATCAGTTGGTTGCGTTTTTGTTCCGTCAATGATTCTCCACAATTCTTTTGGTTTAACATAAATTTGGAACTAAAATTCCCAAGAAAAATAATTGTTCCCCGAAAATTTGACACAAAAAATGGATTCATATTTCATGTACTCAAGATCAAAGAAACAAAATGTTTCCCAAATAACCAAATGAACATGATACCAAGGAACAAAGACAAAAAACCTAGAGCTCTGATACCATATCAAACCAAGAATAAATTTAAGAAAATATGCCATTCATTGAACAAAATTATTCTAAATATATATGATAGGTACATTAACGAATATTCTATATTTTATAAAAAATCAATGCATTCTAGTTATCTAATCAAATTCTAAAATCATGCCAGAAATCAATCTTAAAATTTATCCTAAAATTAATGTACAATAATTTATTAGATATAATATTGACCGTTTCCTTTATAATGCTGATTGTGTCAAATCAGTATGGTGCTGATTTAAATGAATTAGTAAATACTTATAAAAAATAGTATGTGTTAATGTAATATATATCATATATTTTAATAGTAAATTATATAATTATTGAAAAATATAATTATGATTTTGCCATAAAATATCTTGACTCGATTAGCAAATATTTATAAAGAAATTAACACATATCAATATAATAAATAACAAAATTTTTAATAGCAAATTATATAATTAATGTAGAAAAATATGATTATGATTTCAGCATAATAGATTCTGATTTTAGCACCAAATTACAATAAACAAATTATATAGTACAACACAATGTATAATTCACACGGAAAATGTTAATACAATATATAGCATATCACATTATATAATTTCATGTAGTACAATATATTTTGATTCCAACACGAAATATAATTCACACAACATGTATTTCTATATAAAATAATATATGTTATTTTGTTTGTAATAATTTGCTAATTGTTTTGCGTTAATGTGTTAACTTGGTAACATGTTATATGACTTGTGATGATTTGTAACTAACAAATCAACTAACTTGGTCAAAATCAACATAGTGCTGATTTGGTCAAATCAGCATTCTAACCGACGCCAATATTGACACTAATTGAATATTGGTGTTTGCATAATTTCTAAATTTATTGTTTGTGATTATGAATTAAAATAAATATTTGAACTCGATATTTAATTTGAATAAATAGTTGATTCTTAAGTTTTTTTTTTTTTTTTTCATTCAACCGTGCAAGCAAATTTTGACTTGCTACTCCTAGGTAGTACTTAGTTGAATCAAGTTTTTTTATATTGTAATGCAATTAGAAAATTTAATTTTTATAGTCTTTGTTGATATTTTTAGCCCAACTCAATACCAAGCCCAACCCGCAATCCAAAACCCTTTATCCCGACCCAATTTTCTGACCCGACCCGACCCACACCTTATAACTCCCCATTCCCTTCCCTTCTCATAAGAGACAGTGTGTATATCGCGATTCAGTTTTCTCTCTGGTTTATCTTCATCGCCATTCTTCTCGTTAAGTTTGGGGTTTTTTCTTATTCGCCGAAATTGCAGTCGTTCTAGTTCGATTCATTTGGTAAGTTGTTCATCTAGGTGTATTTTGTGAGGTTTTTGGGGAAATCAGTCGATTAGAGTTTAGGAAATTTAATTTTTATAGTCTTTGTTGATATTTTTGGCCCAACCCAATCACTACAAAAAAAGTTGTAAGTTGGGACGGAATTTTGCAAGAGTTTGCATTCTGTTTTAACGTTTCGATGGAAATTGTAAAGGTAAATGCAGTCCGTTGCAATTAATCATTCTTGCAACATAACATTGTGACAAATTTAAGCGGTTGCAAGTTTGTGACATAATTCATTAGGGAATATATTCGGTCGCAATTTAGTGACAAAATTCACAAGAAAATATATTATGTCGCAATTTAGTGACAAAATTTGCAAAATAATGTATTGAGTCGCAATTTAGCGACGAAATTTAGGATTTTGTAAGAAAATATATTCCGTTGAAAAATATACAATTATATCAAAATTTCAAAATTTTATACGACGAATAATAAAATCCGTTGCAATATTGCAATTGATTATATAACTTATATACATTCCGTCGCAATTTAGTCATACATTTTGCAATGAATTGTACAAATGATATACATTCTGTCACAATTTAGTCGACAAATAAAAAAATTCGTTGCAATTTTACAATGGATTTTACAATTGATATATATTCCGTCGTAATAAAAAAAAAAAAAATTTCTTTTTGTATTATTATTATTATTATTATTTATTATTATATCCTAAAATTTTGTTAATATTATTATATTATTATTATTATATATATTTTTACATATTTACATATAATATAACCGTACATACCATTATTATTAAAACAACTAATAATAATAATAATAAAATAATAATAATAATAATAAAATAAAATAAACTTCCGATCAAAAATAAAATAATAATAAAATAAAATAAAATAAAAAATAATAATAATAATAATAATATTATTATCCGCCTTCCCCCTACCTAACTTCACCCTCGCCGATTCCGCATCGATTCCACTCCCAAGCCGCCGTCGTTCTACTGATTCAACCACCACCTGCATCGCCTTCGATTCCGCTCCCAAAAACCGCCTAAGCCGTCGTTCTACTAATTCAACCACCACCACCAGCATCGCGTTAGATTTCGCCTTCGATTTCACTCCCAAAAGCCACCTAATCCGTCGTTTTTTTTTTTTTTTTTTTTTTTTTCTCTCCATTGTTGTTGATCTCATTAATTTAATAAAGTTTTTATTTGTTCGTGTGTTATTTTTTGAGGATTTGGTTTAACTTGAACTTGAATCTAGGTTTTGCTTTTCACTGCTAGTTTGAAAGATTTTTCGGATTTCCTTTAAAATTTTCGATAGTATTGGTAATTAATTTAGGAGGTTTTAACTCTTGAGTTGGTTCTACCTGAAACTAACTAATGACTTTGACGTTGTTATTTTTCTTTTTGCAGTTGGCCAACGGAAGAAGATACCCTGTAAGTTCTGTTATGTATATCATGGCATTTCCAGTTTATCTCTTCACGACACGATAGTCAAGTGTCTTATTAACATTTTTTCTTTTTATTACTGTTGATTAATATATTTATTTATTTTACTTGATTGATATGTTGTCATATAAAGTAGTAAAAGATGACACAGAAGGTTCGAAATGAATAGATTTTTAAAATAAGCTAGAGCTTGATCTTGAAGAGTTCTTTCATATGTACAAATTTGACCTGATGATAGCATTGTGTTCTTGATTGTAGGTAGCAGTTATGCTGGTGGTCAGTGGGCTGCTGGTGATGAACCATTGTATTATATAGTGTCCCCAAATGATGTAGTTATTGCTAAACCTAGGTTGGTTCCTTCATTTCCCTTCTCTCCCATTAATATAGCCTTCTAGTTATGTTCTGTTGATGTTTTTGTGACAGACAAGTTAGATATAACTGTTCTTTTGTTGTCCAATATTTTAAACTTAAATATTTTCATACTAAGGAAAATCAATGTTTGTTGTCCATGTTTGTTGTATTTTTCCATTGACCACATCATTATTAGCTAAGGTCAAACTGAATAGTGGAGCATAGGATTGAGATTTTAAAATTTTGGATAAGAAACATGTGGATAAATGTTCAATTTAGCTTGCTGGTTTAGGCTGCATGTTTCTACAGCTAATGCAACTCAAGAGTATGAGAATGTTGTTAGGAAGAATGCCAAAGATTGTTGATTGTAGATTATTGAGAATGGTGGTTGTGCAAAATTTGGATGATACTCTAGAATTTATCTAGGCGTGGCTGCATCCTGTTGCTCTAGGAGTATGCGTTCAGTGACCTCTGGAAGTCTATTACAAGGGGATTGTTCTGGCTAACATTCCCACAAACAGGAATCTGCTTTCCGCAATTGGTTTTTCTTTTTTTCTTTTTAGTTTTTATATGACGTAGGAATTCGCGGTCACTACATTTTGAGTGCAGAGTGTAATTTGGGTAAACCTCCGGCCGAATCTGATAGCGTGCTTTCTTCAATTATTGTTTGTGTTGTTGGTGGTTGAGAACATTTATTACTAAAGACATCTTATTTCTCTGTCTATTTTCTTTTTTAAAAGAATTCAATGTTTTCTGAAATGTAGTATGTGTTTTTCTTTCTAAGACCTGACAATATATATATATGTCTTTCATAAATTCTGATCATGCTCTGTTCAAGGTTCTGAATTATATAGAAAAACTTTGGATGTTAGGGATGCAGAAGATCACATATCTTGGCTTCTTGAACGTGGATACCATGAGAAAGCCTTGGAAGCCGTTGAAGCTGGTCAAGGTCGGAGTGAGCTTCTTGATGAGGTAGGTGTTTTTTATTTGGTTTGACTGGGTTTCAAACTGTACATAAATCTGTTAACACTGGTGATTTTGGCTCCATGAGTATATGTTTTGTTAGTATATCCCCAACTTTCCTTTGTTTCATGTTCTCCTCATTGCCATAGACATTCATTTTTCATTTGTTGAGTGTGTATGTCACATCCTTTCCTCTACATTATATGCCTATAGATCTGTTGGCGACTTCTAAATTTGGTATCACCATGAGACTATATAATTGTTAATTTCAATATGTTCATGAAATCTACTCTGTTGTCAATCAATAGGATTCTATCTCAGAAATCTACTGGAAGATGGGGTGCTATCGTTTGTGTTTTCGGTTTTGTTTTTGTGTTATTCAATATACAATAGACTATTTTTTTTCCCTAAAAAACATTACAGCTAACCCCTATTTTCCATTAAAAAATCACATCCAACACATTTTCCATTTCGAACATTACATCAAAACCTAATGTTCATTTAAACCTTTCAGTTTCAAAACACACTAAACACAAACAAACACATCTTGTCTATACTTTTCCATTTAATCAGAACAAATGTCATGGTTAGTGAAGGACAAAACAGCTAGTTGGAACCAATAAGCAAATGTGATGCTAAAATTCTGTTGCTTCCAGTTCATCTTCGACTGTCTAGCTGCTCTCAGATATATATATATATATGAAAACCATGCTTTTCAATTTGCATTTATCTTGTTATGTAAACGTTGCAACATTTTAAAATGGCATAAACCTCCATTTCCCAATCAATAAATAAAAGACTCAAAACAAGATCAAATCTGGACGAATACATATATATATATATATATCTTGGTGAGAAAACTGTCAAAGATCAAAACAAGATCAAATGCGCAAACAAAACCATACGATAAGCGTTTAGCAGATCCAAGAAATGAAACCAAGAATTCAATCCTAATCATCATCAAAACTGAGATGCAAATTTCCAAATTCAATCAAGTGTCTACGCTTGGATAAAACCTAATTTGATCTATATTCCCCAACCTCAAACATCATCCTACCTAAATCTCAACCACTGAAACCAAACAAAATCTTCAGTGTTTCAACCAAGTCCTGAATCAGATCAATGATCGATCTATTTCCCCAAATCAATTCCAACACACAAACAAGATGGAAAAAAAAAAAACTAGTGATCGATCTATTTCCCCAAATCAATTCCAACACACAAACAAGATGGAAAAAAAAAATTAATGAAAACAACACAGATATGCAACAATACGAATTTAGGAACGAAACTTACACCGATGAAGAGGACATTTCGAAGAGTGGCGCCTCACAACTGAAGCTTGGCGGCGGACGTTGGTCGGAGATACGGGAGAAGAGCGGCAATTGACTGATGGACGACGGAAGTGCGGCCGCGGTGGTGTGGACTAAGTGGCAGAGGCTTCAGGTCGCGGGCGGCTAAACGGGAGGAGGAAGGTGAAGTGAAGTCGGTGACAGAGAAGCAGCAGAGTTGGAGTTGGGTGGGTTTAGGGATTAAATTAGGGGAATATTTGTTTTTTTTTTACAGAATACACACGTTGCACAACCAATTGCAAAATTACAACACATTACTTTATTCGTCGTATAAAATCTAAGTAATTTAGTATAAAAATATATTTTGCAACTGCATACATTTTCTTTTGCAAGATCGGTCACTCAATTATGTCAATTTGTATTGCAACTGTTATGAGAAAACGAGAAAGAAAGCAAATAAAGAACATAGAGGTTTTACGTGGTTCGGTGACGGTGTGTCAACCTACGTCCACGGGCAGGAACCGGAGAGATTTTATTATACTGATTCAGAGATTTACAATGTGTCATCCGACTAAGAACCATAGTTGTCTATTTATAAGCACCCCAAAACACCCTAAACCGTAAGCCTATTTGTTATCGATTAGGATAAGCCCAAAAGGAACCCTGCCAATTGAAACAGCCATTTCGCTTTGGTTTAGGGTCGGGTAGACCGCTAAATCCAAGTCACGTTTCAACAATCTCCACCTTGACTTGGAGTTTCTCCAACCGCCAAAGGTTCGTCAGTATCTCTCAATCGTCTCCTTCCTGCCAGATGCCCCGAGAGGGCTTTACCTCCTACGAATATTCACCAAGTTCAAGCAGTGCTCAAACTTCTCCGTCGGTAGCGCCTTTGTCAACATATCAGCTGGATTGTGCTCTGTAGCTATTTTCTGAATAGAAAACTTGTCTTCCTCCAGAACATCACGGATAAAATTCAACCTTACATCAATGTGTTTGGTTCTCTCATGATACACTGGATTTTTAGCCAAACTCAAAGCACTTTGACTATCACAGAATAACACCGGTTTCTCCACCTTCAGGCCCAAACTCTGCACCAGACCATGTAACCAGATACCCTCCTTAATACCTTCAGTCATTGACATGTATTCCGCCTCAGTCGTCGACAATGCAACCGTAGGTTGTAAAGTAGACTTCCAACTGACTGCACATCCAAACAAAGTGAAGATAAAACAAGTTAGTGATCTTCGTTTCACCAAGTCACCCCCGTAATCAGAGTCTGCATAGCCAACAAGACCATCACCATGGCCTTTATCATCATATACCAGACAAATATCAGACGCTCCTTTCAAATATCGCAAGATCCACTTTACAGCTCCCCAGTGAGCTTTACCCGGATTAGCCATAAACCTGCTCACCACACTAACCGCATAAGCGAGATCCGGTCTCGTACATACCATCGCATACATAAGACTTCCAACTGCACTTGAATATGGAACCGTCTTCATGTAACTAACCTCTTCATCTGTAGCCGGTATAGTGCTTCGATCAAGTTTAAAGTGTGCCGCCAAAGGGGTACTTACCGGTTTGGACTGCTCAACAGAGAATGCTTGCAAAACTTTCTCAATATACTTTTCTTGAGAAACCCATAACCGTCTTGCTTCTCTATCACGCCAGATCTCCATACCAAGTATTTTCTTTGCCGCACCCAAATCCTTCATCTCAAACTCACCCTTTAGTAGAGCCTTCAAGTCATTAATTACAGCCATATTTTTAGCTGCAATTAACATATCATCCACATACAACAGCAGATACACAAAGGAATCAGTAGAAACTTTCTTCGAGTAAACACAGTTATCAAACTGATTACGAGTATAACCATTAGACACCATGAATGAGTCAAATCTCTTGTACCATTGCCTCGGAGACTGCTTCAAGCCATACAGAGATTTCTTTAACAAGCATACCTGGTCCCCTTTAGAACTGTAGAACCCCTCTGGTTGAGACATGTAAATCTGTTCTTCTAGATTACCATGAAGGAATGCTGTTTTTACATCAAGCTGTTCCAGCTCCAGATCAAAAGCACCCACCATTGCCAAAAGAACCCGAATGGTTTTGTGTTTCACCACAGGAGAAAAGACTTCATGGTAATCGATTCCTTCCTTCTGTGAAAACCCTTTTGCCACCAGTCTCGCCTTGAACCTAGCAGGTTCAACACCAGGAATTCCCTCCTTTCTTTTAAAGACCCACTTGCATCCCACTGGCTTCACCCCTTTTGGTAGTGCAACAAGATCCCAAGTCTTGTTCTTTTCAAGAGACTGCATCTCTTCATTCATTGCCATAATCCAGGTTTCTGCATCTTTACTCGCCACAGCTTCTTTATATGTCTTTGGCTCATCAGAGCCAAGATCATCACCAACCGCTAGTGCATAAGCAACAGAATCCATGTCACACGTATTGACACATCCTGCAAACCTAGCTGGTTTCTGAATATTTCTCTTTCCCTTTCTTGCTGCTATGGAATCTTCAACCCCCGTACCAGCGTCATCAGCTTCCCCCTCAACCGGTTTCCCTTGAGGTTTTGACTGATCTGGTTGATCGGATTGATCAATATTATTATCCTGCTGCTTTTCCTCTAACACAACTCTGTCAGGAGTCTCAAACTCCACCCTCTGGTTAGCACCACAATCTTTTGTACCTGCAATACTTTCACAACCTCTACTCTGATCAAGCATAGCAGATTCATCAAAGGTTACATCTCTGCTAATAAGAAATTTACCAGGATTTTTACCTTCTGTACACCACAGTCGATAACCTTTTACTCCTGTTGCATACCCTAGAAATATGCATTTTACCGCCCTCGGCTCCAGCTTACCATCATTCACATGAGCGTATGCAGGGCATCCAAATATTCTTAGATTAGAGTAATCAGAGGGTTTACCGGACCATACCTCTTGAGGAGTCTTTAAGTCAATTGCAGTTGATGGAGATCTATTAACCAGATAGCTAGCAGTGTTTACTGCTTCAGCCCAGAATTGCTTAGACAAGCCAGCAAATATGCGCATACACCTAGCACGCGCCATGAGGGTTTGATTCATTCGCTCTGCAACTCCATTTTGCTGTGGTGTGTGTCGTACAGTGCGGTGCCTCACTATACCTTCTTTCTTGCAGAAATCATCAAATGGAGCGTTGCAGAACTCCAACCCATTATCAGTTCTTAGAGTCTTGACCTGTTTACCCGTCCGTTTTTCAACCATGGTCTTCCACTCCTTGAACTTCCCAAACACCTCATCTTTAGTTTTCAGAAAGTACAACCAGACTTTTCTCGAATAATCATCTATGAAAGTGACAAAGTAAGAACACCCGCCCTGCGATTTCACCGGAGAGGGACCCCATAGATCTGAATGAACATACTCCAGAATTTGTTTTGAAGTGTGATGACCGGTACTAAACCTCACCCTGCGTTGCTTCCCTTTGACACAAGCCTCACAGAATTGAATTTTACCTATCACATCTCCACCAAATAAACCCTGCTTGCTCAACACAGACAACCCTAACTCACTCATGTGACCTAATCGCCGGTGCCACAAATTTGTCCTATCATCATGTTTATCCAAGGACTGAGATACCGCCGCCGTTCCCATCACTGAACTGCCCTGTAGAAAATAAATTCCATGCTGCAGTTTTCCCTTCATCATTACCAGCGCACCTTTCAAGACTTTCACCCACTCACCTTCACCATGATATTTTAAACCATTCTTGGCTAAGGTCCCAAGAGAAATCAAATTCTTTCTGAGTTCAGGAACATACCAACAGTCAAATTTTCTGACAGTACCGTCATGCAATTTTATCTGCACTACCCCGCTCCCTTTTATGGCTAGAACCCCATCATCACCTAACTTCACCGTTCCATTCCAC